CCCCCCCCACTTCTGGCCAGTTCAGCCCTCCCTAGGGGCGGTGCTGGCAAGGCATGTGGTATTGCACAGTCCCTGCAGTTGCCTAAGCTTGCCTAAGCAGATGCTTTACTCCGCTGAGCTATCTCACCAGCCCCTGGAGTATTAAGAATCAAAAAGTTCGATATTCTTAGGTTTGTCAGCCAGGTGTGGTGGTACATGTCTATGATCCTAGCACTCTGGGAGACTGAGGCTGGAAGATTATAAATTTGAGCCCACCCTGAGCAAATCAATTACTTAGTGAAACCTTGCTTTAAAAATAAAAAGGGCTAAGGTCTGATCGATAAGGACTGTGGCACAGAAAAATAAAAAGGGCTGCAGACAAAGGGCTAATGTCTGGACTATATATAGAGAACTCAAAAAAATCAGATCCAACCCCCAAGATTTAAAACCCCAATACAGGGCTGGTGAGATGGCTCAGTGGTCTAAAGCACCTACTTAGAACAAGCTAAGCTAAGCAAAGCACAGGGACTGCGGTTCAATCCCCCAGCACCACATGCCAGCCAGCCCCGCCCCCTGGTGGGCTGAGCTGCCCCCCCAATAAAATAAATAAATAAAAATTTTTTTTTTTAAAAAAGAAAGAAATCAGGGGCTGGGAAGATGGCTCGTAGAATAAGTGCTTGCCTGGCAAGCGCAAGGGCCTGAGTTCAATCCCCAGTTCTGAAAAAAAAAAAAAAAAATCAACCAATAAACAATGTTGGCGGGGGTGTAGGGAGAAAGGAACCCTTCTCCAATGTTGAAGTGTAGACTGTTGTAACTTGTGGAAATCAGTGTGGAGATTCCTAAAAGAACTAGGCATATAGATTCCATTCAACTCAGCTATTCCCCTTTTTGATATCTTCATGAAAGAATTAAAAGCATCATACCTCAGTGACATATGTACATCCATGTTTATAGCAGCACAGTTTGTAACAGCTAGATCTTGAAAACAGTTCAAATGCCTATCAACAAGTGAATGGATAAGGGCTGGCCAGATAGCTCAGCAGACTAAAACGTCTTCTTAGGCAGAATGCAGTGGCTGGGTTTGGTTCCCGGCATGCAGTGCGGGCCCCGCCCCAGTGGGGCACACTGAGAGGGCAATTGAGAGTGGATGTGGTGGTGTGCGCCTGTAATCCCAGCACTTGGGAGGCTGAAAACAGGAGAATCACTATGAGTCCGATCTGTGTAGTGAGACCCTGTAGACCCCGAAGACCCGGAGAATGGATAAAGAAAATGTGGGATTTTTTATACAATGGAATACTACTGTACCATAAAAAGGATAAGTTTGAGACATCCCTAGGTAAATGGATGACTTCAAGACCATACTGTTAAGTGAAATAAATCAGACACACGTGTATAAATACCTCATTGTTTCTCTGGTGGAAGAAACTAAAAGTATACATAAGTACCAAAATGTATAATAGATATTGTGAAGTAGGAGAAAAATGTGCAAATGGAAAGGGGAATGGAGTGGGGAAAGAGGAGAAGAGAAAAAGAATGGAAGGAAAAATGGAAACAGAACCTTTGTAAGTAAGAAGGGGAAGGGGGTTGAGCGAGGGGAAGGTAACGGAAAAAAAGAACCAAGGTATATCACCCACAGGCACAAGTTCCCTCTGATGAACGTGATTATTATGTATGCCTAAAATGAACTAATAAACTTATTTATTTATGTATTTTTTTTGTGGAACCTGTGATTGAACTCAGGCCCTTGCACTTGCCAGGGAAGCGCTTACTCCACTGAGCCATCTCCCCAGCCCAATAAACTTAATTTTTTAAAAATGTAAAGGGCTGGGGATGTAGCTCAATGTGAAGATCCTAGATTTAATTTCCAGTATCACCACCAAAGCAAACAAACCGTCCGCTTCATGTACCCAAATGTCCCATCCCAGTTCTTTGGGTCTTGTT